GCTTATTTCATTACAACTTTTGCATAACTTTTTTTACAAGTTATGCAACTGGCAATAAGAACATTCTACCACTCTATGGGGAATTCTTGAAAAAAATGTTACTTTAAATTTCACATTAAATGGAAAAATCATACAATAGATCTAAAAAAAAAAAAAGGTCTGTTGGAGAAGATTTCATAAGTTATAAATTAAAAAAAACTTTCTTGTTACTTTATTAAAAGTTAGAAACTCACTATGCATCCACCTTCCATCTTCATGGAAAAACACTGCTTACACAACTTCTTTGTTTTTTCCAATCCTTATGTATTCAAAATGCTTTGAATCTTTTTTGGTGTTTTTTATTTTATTTTTCTTTATAAATCTGAATTAAAATAAAACGTGTCTCTGAAATGCAGTGTCTATTCAGGCACAGCTTTCCCTTTTCTGAAGTTCTGTTGAGAATGTTGTGCACTATGGAAGGGATTTGAACATGGCCACAAGCAGGAGTGACCTTTGACCCCCTCATACCAGGGAGTTATAGGACTAGGAACCGAGGCTAACAGGGCTGAAATAAAGCCACTGACACACACAAACAAACACATGCAGGCTCAATACTCTGGGATTAGATCTGGAACCAACACCCACTCCATACCATTCCTGTCCCATATAAAACGTCTCGTCTAGAAGACAAAAATCTGGATTTTGAACTTTGCACTGCATGCATTCAAGATTCAGCTTGTTTCATATTAATTAGTTTGTCAGTGTGTTGCTCTACTCCTAAGCTGACAGATACTCTCACCTATGAGCCTATTTGTCAAGAATTGGATGGGTGATAACCACAGCCTCTCTGCTTGCTGCAGGGCAATGGGGGTGAGAGACATAAAGTGTCAGGAGCAGATCTGAGTGGATGAGCCTCCTTTTCTTAATTTGCTCTTAAAGTGAGTCTCTTTAAGTAAGCAGCATGGAAACATAATAGGACTCTTCTGTTGTGTCCTCTAGGTGATACAATTTCAACCAACAGCTGTCAATCTCTGGGGTGTTCATTGATTGGCAGTCAGGTGGTAAATCTAAATGAACTCTGGTATTTAAACACAGTCATGCAAATATCTGTATTTTTTCAGATAAAAACAGCTTTTTGCCCTTGCATATTTCTGCCCAGCGGTTGCTTTATTTCTTCCAGTTGCAAAAAGTCAAACATTTATTTTCACTTTCCATCATATAACATATTAAAATTCAGATTCACGAAGCCTTACCTCTCAACATTTCCTTTGCATGCTGTATATATTATGTATCTTGATCACTTACAGATATTTTTTTTATTTTAACTCTAACATAAGAAGGGAGAAAAAAAGGATTTGTTTTTCAAGTTCCTCCAACAAACAAAAATCTGTATTTTTAAATTTGGTTTCATCTGATTGTCAGGTTGAATGACTGTTAGACTGAATTGCTTAAAACAAAAAATAATTAATTTATTGTGTTAAGCTATGGTCATATCAAAAAAGAAAGACCTGGAAAAAAATCCTGAGACTTTATTGACCAGTAGAGCTGGTTTGGTATCTGATTTACCAGAATGTCCCCTGGGATCAAACACTTATCACCCCTGAGAGTTACTGTTAAAGTCTGATGCATTTAATACATTTTAGACTAAAATATTCCTACATCTCAAGGCCTCCCATCAGGGTCCAAGTTAAACATTAAACACATTACACTGAAGACCAAATGAGGAGTAATATGGACCAAAGATTTCTAACAGTCACATTCAGAAACAAAAAACAACAGTCAGGATCATGTGAGGAATAAAATGCAGCTGGTTGGACAAAATCAATCAATAAATGTTTGTCCTTATAAGGTAACTATAGAACATTCACACAAACACCTTTATAATGAAGTTCAGGATTTAGTGACCTGTCATATTTTCAGTTTATCTGAATTAACTGATTTGAGTATAGTGATACTGACAACATTATGCTTCTCTAGATAATAAAACCCAGGATACCAACAGCGGAAGAACAAGATAATAAAACTTTAAATCGATGTCATATAGGTCAACTAACTGTTCCAGGATGAAAAGTTTTGCTTTTAAAAGACTGCTTTTGCTAAACACTGAGCTAAAATCCATATTTTTAGTTAATTTTGCTCTTTTTATGGTCCAAACATGATCTGTTTCATGTTCTTCAATATCAGTAAATCTTTGTGACAAATTTCCCATGATTTTTAGGCTTATTTAATTTCCTTTTTAGGGAAATGTTTCATCTATGATGTTCATTTTTTTTACTGCATTTGTTTAATTTTTTTTTCTTCATTCATTTTATTAACCTGTTATAAAATGATCTGAGGATATCACAGATGTTTTTACTCTGTCTTGAAAGGAGTTGCTCATATCCTACAGTCAAGGTATATCTGATGTTAAGCTGTTGAAACAATCTGGCTGGATTAAATGAATCAGCCAAAATTGAAATTGTGTTCTTCTTTGAATATCATTCATTTTATTTTATTTTATTTTATTTCTGTTTGCTGTATATATATTCACGTTATTCTACTATAGTGGGGAATATTTCATAGTTCCTAAGCACACTTTAAACTAGGTTATAATGGGTTACTTTGTTATGGTTCCCTAAAGTGTGTTGAATAGAAGTCAATATAGGATTAACATGAAAGTATTTCTCTTGAAAATGTTGATTAGAATCTGACTGAAATAGATAAAAATTATTTAATTAAGGGTGATCATTTTGTTGTCTGTAGTTATTTGTTAGAAATGTTGAACCTGTTGAAACTTGCCTATAACCCCCATCATTTTGTCATTTCAGTTTGTTGTTTCTAAAACATAGAAAGAAGTTCTTTTGTTTTCCATCTCTTATTCGGGTTTTATTCCTGCAATTTTCTGAACAGAATAACATGAATCCATGGGCTTTTTTCCCCCCAACCGCTTAATAAAACAATAATTATGATTTTCTGTCTTTGACCCTCCGCAGCCACCCGGTTCCAGACGACCTATTTTCCGCAGTGTTCCCGGCGGAGGCGCAGTCTGAGGGCGCTTACATAACTGCCTTGCGCATGATCTTGGCGCCCTCCTTTACGCGGCTGCGCCTCGGCGCAAAACCAGCAGCTGCTTTCTGAATATTTCGTTGATTTGATTGCGAGTTAATTGCATCACCCCGCGCGCGCATCGAACCAAAGCGCACGCGCGTAAAGAACGAGAATAAGTCGTCCGAGTCCTCGAAATGGCTTTTTACGTACATTTGAGAGAAAGAAACAGATTTTATTGATGTTTGAAGGGTGGGTTGGAAAAATGCTTCTCAACGTGAGATCCGGGAAACACCGGGGGTCCTTGGATTGACTCCAGGGGGGTTCCGCAGCATTTTCCCCTTCTGTTCAAAATAAACTGATATTTTAATCTTTTCTGCTTGGATCGAAAGAGTTAAAACGCAACATTTTCATATTTAAATCGTTTATTGACTCGTGAATGATCACATGTGAAAATCGCTTTAAGAAGTCATTCAGTTTTTGAAACGCAAACCAGATTTAGGCGCATATAACTCCATTATCGGTGTTTTTTTTTAAATATATGGACACACAATAAGAGCTGAAAGACGCAACGAAACGAAATTGCAAGAAATATGCTGCAGTATAAAACGAAGGGAGAGAGAAAATGTGTTTGATTCCCTTGTTGTACCCCTTTCAGTCTGAGGAGACAGATGTTACGGTCTATCAGCGCCCCCTGTCGCCCTGCGGCACAGGGAAAAAGATCTCTTAAAGGGGATGTCTAAAAGCCGGAAGAGCTTTTTAAGGTGGAACGGTGGAGATATCCCTGTGGTTTCTCTTTAGCAAAGGGGGGGCAAGACACGACTAATTCATACTCTTCCAAGCACAACTCGTGGGTTTTATGCGCAAGAAAGAAAATAAGTCTTTATTAAAGCTTTCCCAAATTTAGGGGGTGAAATGTAAATACTGGTGACATTTTTCTCTCCATTTTTAGTTTAATAAGGAGCCTTTTTGAATAATTAACATAGGATCGGATGAATACTACAGAGCAATGGGGAATAGAAATACAGTAGCTTATGTTTCACTCTGGTGAAAGTGATAAATTAGAAGAGTCAAGAATGAAAACACAACCACATTTTTAGATGCACATTAAAGTCAAAGCCATGCGTCACTCCGTTTTCTGTTGTCAGACCTCGTCCTTTAAGGGAGCTGCAGACATCCTTTTTAAAGTTTCACAAAAAACTTTCGCCTTGTGCTTTCAAGTTTCATGACTGTAGAGAAATGAACCCCGTGCTGCGTTTACTGACATGCAAAGATAAGTAAAAGAGGGTGGTAGTGTTTACAAGAAAACTGGAACCAAGGGCTTTGTTAAACTAAGAATGTTTTCCTGTTTTTTATTTTATTTATGGAGCTTGTGAAAAATCTTTTAGAGATATGAGTTAATATTAACTTATATTATTTTCTAAGAGCCAAAACAGCAAACAGTTCAGGTGTCAGTAAAGTTCACCTACTGTTTGATTAAAACATCTAGATGGCTTCATCCCTTGATGAGGCCATTTCATGTTAAATAAGGGCAGATCTTTGATTTAAAGGAGCAGGTTAGTTTATAGAAATGTCATTTTGATCAATAAAAGTCACCACTTTCCACACAAGAGGATAGCAATCATGAGATGCATTCATGCTGTACTATTAAATCTGGTCGCAAAAAAGAGCTTTATGATTTTTTTGAGGAATTAAACAGATTAATTGTCCCACAGAGCTCCATCAACTCTAAATATTTATATTTTAATGTGTGCTGTTTGACCCCAGTGATTGCTGTTAAACAATCCCTCAGCTCTTCTTCCAGAGGTCACCCCCTCCTCTGCAAGGTTTTCATTATTTGCATACAGTCGCCTCCGCTTTGTTTTAGTTTTTTTTTCCTTTTTCTTTTACTCTGCTCCTGTATAAAGCTCTGCAGTGCAGCCAGACCTCCTCATTTGATCCCGGCCATGCAGCAGAGCTGTTGGCTCTCCCTTTCGGCCTTTTAATCCGGACCAGAGATGCTCGTCGCTCATCTTCACGCACTGATCGTCGCTCTGCTCTGCGTTTACTCTGCATCCTCCTCGCCTCCAGGTCATGCGGTATCTGTGCGGTTCGCCCGGTGCGTTAACAGCTCCCTACAGGATTATACACCCACGGGTGTCCGTGACCTTGACCCGAAAAGCTGCTCTGCGCGCTGCGTGTATGAGGGGTGAGCTGAAGCTATTTTTTCTTAAAATAAGTGCATTTGTTCTTGGATTAAGGAGGTAAAATAGACATTTTGCAAATGGAACAAGACAATTTACACTTAAAATAAGAAAACACAATTGCATTGTCTTGTTTCAGGTATATATTATGTAATTATCTTATTTTAAGAGTAAAAATACTAATTCCATTGGCAAACTATCTCATTTACTTACTCAAATTCAAGGTAAATACACTTAATTTAGGACATTTTTTACTTATTTTTTGACTTAGTTTTTCCAGTGAAAGTTAGGAATGTGTTGGAAATCAAATGGTGCTGCAAAAAGCAAACAAAATAATGATTTAAAAAAAGCTAAATATGTTGAAAATTTGCATGATGTACTAGATTCAATCAAGGAAGATGAGTTGCAATTTGTATTTATTTTTTTTTTTCAGTATATTTTTTAAATTATTATATTTTATGGGGAAAATGTGCTCTTTGTTAATTGAATAAATTACTCAGATTACACCTAGCATTTAACATTTGCAAAGCTTAGATCATTATGTTAGAAAGAAAAACTAGTTAGAAAGGCTTTTTGATTAGAACTCACTCTGTATTGGCAGAATAAGTAAACCCACTGAATAAAACTCTTTCAATTCTCATCTAAAATTGTGATGTTTCCACCTTTTCTCTCACAACTACCCTCTAACCCTTGTCCTCCAACATCCGCTTGGTGTAAAGAAGCTTTAAAGTAGCATTGCTTGCTACTTTAAATTTGATATTTGCTCTTTGACTAAAGTAGCCAAAGTTAGACGGAAACTTGAGTTATTGCTTCAGTACAACAGTAAAAAACAAACAAACAAACAAACAAAAAATAACACTTTCCTCTTATTCACAATAAAAACAAAATAAACTCTGCAGCCTTAATGTTCTAAGGACAATGGACCAAAAATGGAAAAAAGTTGCCTCATTTATAAGTTCAGTTAGTTGCAAACAAAGATGCCACTAAAGTACCCTAGCTAATATTATAAGAGCAGCCTTAAAAACACAAGTATCTCATATCAACAACCAATACACTTGATTAAGATGTACATAATTTAAAATAGAATTTTACATTTTTCTTCTGGTTTAGTAAACCAATTGTTACTTTTTTTTCCTGAATATATACCTATATTAAGTCCCAATGCTCTTTAACTTTTATAAAATCTTTTTTTTTTTTTTTTTTTATAATCAGCTGATGGAAAGATAACATGGTTTTCTTCACAAAATTGAAGAGTAAAGCTGAATTGTTGATCTGCAATCAAGAAATGTATAATATGAGCCTTCTTTTGTTTCAAAAACCATTACATATTTGTTGGAAACAAAATGCAAAGAGAAAAATCTTTAATCATTATCCTCGTGCTGTTGGAAGCATGCACTATACATATTATACATATTAGCTAATAATATATTTAAAATTGTAATCAAACATACAAAACAGCAAATGTGATTTTAAGTTTTCTTTCGAATAAAACATGAAATACTTTATTTTGGTCATTCATGTTTGTTCAGTCAACTCTTAGCGGTTCTGTTTCACAGCTTAAGCTTTAAACCAATTTGACTGTATGATCTGGTGGAATTGTGCTTTGAGATGACGTGTTGTGAAAAGGCGCTATAAATAAACTGAATTGAATTGCAGAATTAAATAGATAAAATATCTTAGAAAAATCTAACAAATGATATGCAGTTAAGAATGATTTAATATTAGATAAAATAATGATTCCAGCTAGATAGCTTAGATATGACCACCAAGGAAAATAATTCACATTCTTAATTTATTCACATTTTATTACTTAATCACAAATTTAGCTTATGTTTTCTTTTTAACATAGCAACCTAATGATGATCAAATTGTTGGAATTAAATTATTTATTTAACCACGTGTCATCTGTTTAGCTACAGTTTTTTTTTTAATAAACATAAGTTCAAATCTACCAGGATACAATGATAAATACACTAATTCTGTTGGCTAAATTCTTGTTTTATCAGCTGACTTATAAAACAAAAGTCACTGTGGTTTTTGTTGCAATCTGTGCCAATCATTGTTTTTGTTTTTGTTCAAGGTGCCAGTTTGTATTGTCTTCTGAGACTTGTTCCTGTGGGAACCAGCTGCACGCTCTGGTGGTCAGCGCTTGTTTTAACTCCTCTGTCACAGAGGAGACAAAAGATGTGAAAGAAGGAAGCAAAAATCAAAGGTGAGAAACAGCTCTGTCTTTTTGGGGTCTTGGGTTTCATTATCTGGTCCTTCAAAGCTAAATGTTTCAACACTTTGTCAGCCGCCTGTGTTTGACAAATTTCTTTCTATTCCAGATCCTTTTATTATCTGTCTATTGGAAAAGTTGGGAATGGATCTGAAGGATCTGTGGAAATCTACAGAGGCAAAACACCATTTTGTCTTTATTTGAGGGTGTCAGCCTGTCCTGGGAGAGCAAGAGAAGGGAAGAAGTTTGGGGAGAAAGTCTCTGGAAATCTGTCTGCATGCTGGAAGCAGACCGAAGGTTGGATCTTAGGGTGATATACTGAGCTACACATATAATTCTCCTGTGTTAAAACAACTTTATTTCTAAATATTATGATTATTATTTGAATTGTATTAATTTTTTATGTATATATCTGATTTTTTTTTTTTCATTCTTTAACTTCCTCAGCAATACATTATTTTGGCTAACTTTTGTCATTTAAATTGTTTGTCTCATAGATTTTATTTAAAGTACTCCAAATGAGCTGAGAAAACATTTATATGATAAATTATTAGCGATATGTCACATCAGGTTTTTGTATTTAAACTCAAATGCTGCTTTAGTTTAAACTTAATTTCTACTGAGTATTCGAGAGACACATAAACTCTGTCAAATGTAATTCCCTGAAAAATAAAATAGAATAAACTTTTTTTTTTCCCCACTTCAACTTTAAATGATATAACTCAGCCATGTATATTTGAATCTTAAGCAATTTTTCAGTCAAATGAAACCCATACTATTTTTGCAAAGTTAAAATCAAAGTATAAAATGTAATAGAAAATAAATATCCTTTATTTTAAGCCAGAGGAATGTTGGTGTGCCAGCAGCAAATTCAAAAGCACATGAAGGCATGCAGATACACTAATAGATGAAAAATATTACAACAAAAAAGAAGAGATTTTGAGGAAGGGCAAATTCACAACATAAGAAAAAATACTGTACAAATAATGACATGTAAAGAAATCACAAAATATCCTAAACTTAATCAAAAGTGGAAAACGTAGAACTGAGAAAATGCATTTGTACCCAGCTTAACCGTATCATTATTTAATAGAAGAGAACTTGTGTTTTATCGTTCATTATTAATCTGATTATTTAAATAAAAAATATCTTGAAGCTGCCCTCCAGTTCTTTAAGACTTTGCATCTTAGGATAAGGTCTGTTCATTTATTTATTATTCAAAAATGATTCAAGGTCATGGCAGAAATATTTCAGCAATTTTTAAGAAAATGTGTAAACTAAGAGAAAAGAAATCTCTGTAATACATGTTAATTTCCTGACCAGTGCTTTTAGAGGGCAATTGTATTATGTCAACATTGACCTTTTTGGAAAAAACTTAGCAAAGGTCAAAGTTCACATCATGTGACAGATGATTGGTCCTTCTGTGTGTTTTTATTTGATGTTGAAAACTCACAGAAAGTGATAGTTTGTGGTGATGCTCATTGTATTCAGCTGGTTTTCCATCTTTCTCTCAGATATGTCTTTTTGCAGCTCTGTCTCCACCATCCAGCTGATCTGCTGTCGCAGCTTGATGATCTATTTTCTCCAAGGCCCCCGAGGCACGCCCCCCTGCTGTCCTTCCCCACATTTAGGCTCCAGCAAAGAGCATGTTGAGGATGTGACTGTCACTCTGGATTTAGAAATCAAGGAAGGAGTGGATGTAGTTTCCTTTCCAGGGATAAGACATAAACAGCGAGAGAAAATGATGGAGGATGTGGAGGAGGATTGTCCTTCAAGCTCTGAGCTCCTGAAATTTACTTTGGTAAGTCAGGATGAATAAACAGCTTTGTTCCTGCTATTCTTCTTTAAACTCTGTATTTTTCTTTTTTAAAAATGAATGCGCCAGATTAAATAGTAATAAACAATTTACAGAGTTAGAATAGTGAAAGAAGGATATTTTCTGAAATATTTAGCTTTTTCCTTGCTACTGAAGAGCAAATATGCAGATTTTTTTCCAAAGTAAATTGGTTAATTCTGAGCTTGTTTTGTTTCAGGACTGTCCATCTGACACGCAGAGTTGTGTTTCGCTGTTCTATTTTAGCTCAATTTTAGCATTGATTTAAAGTCATAAATTATTAACTCATTGTATAAAATGAATACATTACTATAATTTAAATAAATGTTTAGTGTGATCCTATACCAGAGATCAATCTTAAGGATAAAAAGAATATATATACATATAAACAAACAAATACAAAAAACTAAATTAACATATTCTATTAAGCTTATTGAAAATTGTTCAAATGTACGTTGCTAAACATATATAGCTGTTTTTTTCAGCATCAGTTTTACATAAGGCTTTAAAAATATATTTTAAAAGTTATATCGCCATGCCAACCCTCTGAAATTAATGCATGTCTAATTTAAAACAATTTTACAGTGGTTATTATATTTGTAAAACTTAACAAAAATGATTGCTTCGAGAGACACCAGTGGACAATACCACTGGTAACAATGTTACCTAAAATAAAATAGGAAACAAAACAGTGAAACAGATTAAATAAATTGTGTTCCCCCATATCATCACAATTATATTTGGTGTATAAAAATGACAGGTGAAATGTTTGTTTTACATAAATCAAGCAACCATATTTTAAAAAAATAAATTCAGACTTTCACTCACCATAAGTAATCTGTTTCCTGTAGATGGACAGAGGATACATACTCTGTTTGTATTAAAAAAATCAGAATTAGATTAAAATAAGATTAAAATTCTCATTTGAGTCTCATGTGGAGAAAGTAGAATAACTCACAAGAATTAAATTCAGTGAATTTCCGTTTCTGTTATTTTTATAGAATAAAATTTAAGTTACTACATCCTATTTTGTTTAATCAAAAATCAGCTTAGTCTGCTTGTATAGCAATCCAAGTGTAAAAGCAGCTTCATGCACAAAGGTTTCACCTTAGGCCCCCAAAGCAATGATGGAATTCTTAAATAAAATTTCTGAACCAATAAAGAACCCCGAATGGTTTCATTCCCATTGTGTTTAGGTTAAAATCTCATTGCATGCAGTCTTAAACAGTTTAGTCCGAATAAATAATTCTGCAAAATACAGTATTGTCCAAATCAAGTTGAAAACAGTTTGAGCTCTGTATTCACTGCACTTCATTAAAAAAAAAATCTGTTAAAGATGGTCTCCAAAAGCAAAGTGTCCAGATATTAGCATTAATCATGATGCACCGATTCACCCATATCCTCCATTTTTTTTAGAAGTGCCATCTCTGTGCAAATTTAGTCATTAACAAATACAATGTTGAGCTGCATGCATGACAAGATCAACCAGGACATTCCTTCCTGTTTACTTGAAGACTGTATGGTTATTTTCAATTTATTTTCAACTTGTCATGGTTCTTGATCCCAAATATAAACAATCTGTCCTTCAATTACTTATTATACAGTTTTGATTATCTTTATTCCTGTGTTTCTTCTGCAGGTAGCTGAATGTCCTTTCATCTTTAACCTTAGCCTGAATGCATCTGACTATCAGCTAAGAGCAGGTGATATTGTTTCCGAGGGCAACGAGCTATTCAAGCCCACAGTGGAAGCAGAATCCAACCACAGCTCTGAAAATCTCAAAGACTGCGTCTGCAGAATGAAGGACTGTGACAATGAGCTGCTTTTTGACATCCCTGGTGGGACAACATCAAACCAAACGTGTCGGGTTTCATTTAGCATCTCAGCAGAGTCAGATGTGACTGCCTGTCTTCTGGTGAATGCAACACCAAAGCACAGAAGCAGCAGCTGCACCGCAGGGGCCGAAGCAACAGTGGTTTTGCTTTTCAACCGCAGCGGGACTGTTGTGATTCAGCTGCGAGCTGAAAATCAGGTGTCTTTTCAGAGCAAATGTGTGAGAATGTGTGTCAGGGGGAAAAGGAAGTTACAAGCCAAAAATATTTCAGCTTGGAAACCACCAGCTCAGAGTGAGGAGGAAATAGGTAAGAAGTGCAACTCTTGTTTTGAGAGTGAAGGCAACTTATGTAAATCCTAAAGTATTATTTTCATTTATTTTATAAGTTTTTCTGCATTCACCAAAGAACTATGATTTCTTTCCCCCCCTCAGTTGTTAGGATTTATGCAGAGCAGCAAGTGTATCCCACAAATAAAGACATAACTTTCCTGGCTGTCAGTGACATACCAGATCCTGTAGAGTTCTTCTGGGACTTTGGAGACTCCAAATGGGCCAGAACCTCATTAAGGTCCATAATTAAAAGATATCACAACCCTGGCAGGTAGGAGTCACATATAAGATATTCTAATTGCAATATGAATATCATATCATATTTATTGCACTGCTTTGCATTGTATATTTCGAATCTTACTGTGCTGGATTGTACAAAGTTGCATCACATCATTTTGTATCATATTGTGTAGCATTACATCGTGCCGTTTAAGATTGCATTGGATGACTGCATTCCATTGTATCTTATTGTATTGTATTAATGAAAAGAATTAATTATATAATTGAATTTTATTTATCTGACATTGGAGAAATTTACCCCTGCACTGGAAAAAAAAATCTAGATAAGTTATTTCTGTCCTTAAATTAGGTGCATTTGTTCTTTGATTGAGGAGGTAAAAGAGACAACAAGAGAATTTACACTTAAAATAAGAAAACACAATTGCATTGTCTTATTTCAAGTGTATATTATCTAATTGTTTTATTTTAAGTGTAAAAATACTCATTCAATTGGCAAACTGTCTCAGTACCTACTTAAAATTAAGGGTAAATACACCTCATTTAAGAAATTTCTAGTTATTTCTGGATAGTTTTTCTAATGTGCATTTAACCCTTCCCTAGCAGTCTGTGGGGTTGAACTCAGAACCTCAGGATTCCAAGCTCTATACCCTAACCACTAGGCTGCCACTGCCCTAGTATTACTGTCTAATTAAGGAAAATTAATCACTTTTACTCGTAAAATAATTTTCATTACTTTTGCTAGCACAGTATTCAGCATTGCTCTCTATCTATAATTTTAATCACCCTGTCTAGTTACAAAGTGGTGGTTGCTGCCTCTTGGGGTCAGATGACTGTCACCTCAGACCCGTTTTCCATCGAGATCCAGAGAGCGGTGAAGCTCAGCAGGTTGGTTCACCAGACCTCAGTCCTACAAAATCAGACTCTTATAATAACATGCAGAGTCAGTGTGGGGACCAACATCACCTTCATGTGGAGCTTCGGAGACGGAATAACCAGAACCGGACTGAGCACGACACATCATATCTACCACAGGTTAACTCAAACCATTTTCACACAGGCTTTTTGCAGAGCTTGTTTTTCCCCCCCAGGAAATTATAAGTGTTGTTGTTATGTTCCAACAGGTTAGGAGAGTTTCTGGTCAAAGTGACTGCATCTAATCTCATTAGTTCTGCTTCTTTGAGCAGCCACGTCTTTGTTGTCGACAGGCCTTGTCAGCCTCCACCAGTCAAAAACATGGGTCCACTCAAACTTCAAGTACCAGCTGTTTACACTCTATCATGCTGAAATAATATTTTATAGGTCAGTAACAAATAAACTAAACCTAATTCCTGTGCTAAGTTTCAGAGGCATGAAGTCATCCATCTGGGGGTGACGTTTGATACAAACATGGACTGTGACACATCAGAAGGCCTTCACTATACCTGGACTTTATTTGGCTCTGGAGGCCAGATCATTCCGTTGCCTCATATAGATACACAGGGACAAAGCCTCACTCTACAAAGCCATCTCCTCCAATATGACACCTACACAGCCATAGCAAGGGTAAGTTTGGACAAAACCTATTATAGACTCAATCATCATCTGGTTTCAAAATAGTGATAGTGCTGTTATTGAGGAATAGAGGGGGGAAAAAAGACATCTAAACAGTCCAAAACTTTTAGTAAAAGTTTCCTATCCTATATTTATAGAACTGAGTATCTCTGATTTGTACTTGTGGTGTTTTTGGTCTTCTGCAGGTTGGGGTTATTGGCAGTGTGGTGTACAGTAACTACACAGTGACTTTACAAGTGAAGCCAAGCCCTCTGGTGGCATTTATCCAAGGTGGAACCAATGTTTTTATTCGTACGAAAGACAATAATATGATCACCATGGATGGGCAGAAATCCTATGATCCAGACTACCCTGACGTCCCACTCAGGTACAAACTTTGATCCACGTCGGACACTTTAAAAGGAATATTGGACAATACAATGACATAATATTAATATTAGTGTTTTAGTGTTTTTGTTACAACATTTGGTAGATTATAAAAGCTAGTACAAGTCCATACAAAGTAAAAGCATACATTTACTACCCATCAGTGTAGTATATGCCAGTGGGTCACCACCAGAGTTTTGGGAGAAGTCCAAAAAATTCTGTAGCATGATCATCCCAACTCAGAGTTGAATTATATAATGAGGTTCTCAAATGTAACAGTAATGATGGATGAGCATATGTTATGCTGCAAGTCACCAGAAGAACTCTACAGGATCTAGTATGTTTGATGTTCCTAACAGAGAACTTCACTCTCAATCTGCAGGTTTACTAGTGGTTCCTAGAATTTCTAAAAGTAGAATGGGAGGCAGATATTTTAGTTATCAGGCTCCTCTAGTGTGGAATCAACCATCAGTTTTAGTCTGTGAGGCAGACACCCTGTCTACTTTTAGGGGTAGGTTTAAAACTTTCCTTTTTGATAAAGCTTGTAGTTAGAGTGGCTCAGGTTATCCTGAGCATCTCTATAGTTATGCTGCTATAGGCTTAGACTGCTGGAGGACATAGGGTTCCCCTTTTTCTTAATTTTGCTTCATTCTATCTCTATTCTCCCACTGCATAATTTGTTAGTTCAATCTGAAATGTGATGGTCTCTCTGCTTTTTCTTATAGTAGCTTCATCTGATCTGTTCCTGGGACACCATCCTGGGGAGAAATATCAGCTGTACTGCTGCAATTAACACATTTATTTATGTTATATTGGAGTTTGGCCTGTTTTTCAGTGTAGTCCTGGTTCTCTGACTCAGACTAACTGGATGCGCTCTCTTTCATACTGACATGTGAGCTGGCTCTGAGCTTGTCTACTTGGCTCTGTGTTTCCTGGACAGGGCTGCCTGTGGAGCTGGATGACAGTTACCTTTTGTATCTCTACTTTTTTTTCTATTTTTGCTTCTGTCTCCTTGAACCCCAATCAGCCTCGACAGATGGCAGCTCACACTGAGCCTGGTTCTGCTGGAGGTTTTCTTTCCGTTAAAAGGGAGTTTCTCCTCTCCACTGTCGCTACAAGCATGCTTAGTGTGAGGGATTACCTTCAAGTCAATGAGTCGATGCAATCAACTGGTTTTTCATAGATAAAAAACTTTGAATCAGTTTGACTGTATGATCTGGTTGAATTGTCTCTGTAAGGTGCCTTGAGATGAGATGTTTTGTGAATTGGTGCTATATAAATAAACTGAATTGAATTGATGATAAGCAGTGGCTGTGATAAGTAAAAGCTCTGTCTGCACCAGGGAAGAATTCACCTCCACAGCAAACTAAATGCTTGGAGCAGCTCCCACTTATGGTAGCTTGAACTATTTTCTGATTAATTTAGCAAAAGAATATTTAGCTTCTTCAAACACCTATATATCACTGAAGCCTTAAACAAGATGGTTAATGTACCCTGAAATATGTAAAAACAATAAAATCAAGAGCAATGATGTTAAATCTCAAAGAAATCTCGACTCGTAAAATGTTTAATAATGTTTCTGATCTATGACTACCTGGAGTTGTACGCTCTCTTCTTATTTTTTCTTCTCTCTTTAGCTACAGCTGGACATGTAAACCAGTGTCAATCATCACCAGCTCATGTTTCAACCAGGACATTCCCACTTCATCTTCTGTGCTGAAATTTCCTACCAGTTCCTTGAAGCCTAGGTTCGACCAGTTCCAATTCACGCTCACTGTCCACAGCAGAGGGCACTCAGCTTCATCAGAGGCTTTCCTCACAGTAACCCCACACCTTACAGGGTAATTAGTCTTCTTGAAATAAAGATACATTCCCATAGAGGCACAATACCGATTGTTGAACTGGATTAAATACATTTAAACCAGTATTAGGTGAAGCAATTATGTGGTTATTATCAATGACCCAAATATGTTGTATACAGGAAGGTCTCAGTTCTCTGCCATCAGTGCCAGGGAGATCGTGTAAACTGGGATCAGTCGTTTTCGGTCAGCGCTCTTTGTGAGGACTGTAACATCCCCAGTAAACTCATCCAGTTCACATGGAGCCTTTACCTTGTCAACGCTTCATCCAAGCCCCTTGTAGAGGGTAAGCAAAGATAAATTAGTTCACCATGTTGTTATGTTTGAATTAACTCAGTGTCAAAAAATGTATTCACTTGAATTTTTCTTTTCCAGTCCCATTTTGTCACACAGTGGAGATCAGTCCCCCGGCGGCAATCCTGGAGAATCCCACAACATCCACCCTGACTCCTGGGATGACGTCCCTTCAGTTTCAGCCCCAGGATTTATATCTGGGTGATTGGGGGTCAACATCGGAAGAAAGCGGAGATAAACCACATCAGTTTGGTGAGTTAGTTAAAGGCAGAATTAACACAAAATATCATCCGAGATAAAAATCTAACTGCCGTGTTTCTTCCCATTTTTAGATTCAAGTTCTGAGTCTTCATATACATCTGTTTTTGACCAGGACACTAGAATATTCTTAGACAGAAACAGCCGTAAAGGCATTTCTAGTGGGTTTCCCAGTGAGTCCTCAACAGACTGGAAACATGCTCTACCTTTAATGGAAGACAAGCCTGTAGCTGGTCAACCAGGTAAATAATGTCAAAGCAGAATCTTCTAATATTAGTTGTTTTTTTTACAAACTGCTCAGCTTTTGCACTATTAAGGTATTACAGTTCACAGGCTCATGCTAAAGCCACGTCTAAACCCCATTTTTATTTCCCTGTAGTATATTTATCATGCTGTCTGATAGTATTATTACAGAAAACATACCATTTTAAAGGGGATGCAGTGTGGGTTCTACACAACTTGTAAGAAGTTGACCCAAAGTTTTATCAGTATTTTATAGTAGGCTTTGCAAAAAGAAAACAATCTGTTCATCAAAATTTTATGTTTATCTTATATATTTATAAATGCACTTGTGACAGCTTATAAATTGTCTTCGCACATCATTGCTTAAAAAACAAAAACAAGTTGAACCAAAGGTTTGATCATTTGAAGTCAAATGACCTAATCTTGTAATGCTGCAGAATGTTTTTCACTGTATACATTGATAAATGGTGATGATGATATTTTTTTTTAAAATACACATGTATACAATAAATAATTGTACATAACGTAACAGAAAAAAAAAACAGTTTGAAAAGGGTGTATTGGTAAAAGGAATAAGCTCATAATGCCATCACTCCAAAACTAAGTAACATTGGACTAGTAAAAAGGAAAAAAGGTGGCTACATTTTATAATACATCCCAAAATATGGTCTGAAGAAAATAATTATTCTACAGTAGCATTTTTAAAAAGGTAGTAAAGCCAATATCTTGCTGCTATTAATGACATTCACATAGTTTATAATGTGGGAGACTAGTAGTCACTGTCGGTAACTGAGAATCAGTACTTTTCCTGTGGACATACTGTGGTCTATTCTCTAAATAAAACTTGATCCAAGAAAGAGCCACACCTTTAATTCCATATCTACACATTCTTTTAAGTAATAACTCATGATTGGCAGTATCAAAAGCTTCAGTTAAATAACTATTGGACCTTGCATTTACTTTAGGTATAGTGCAGTTTGCTGCTAAAATGTCTTTTTCTGGAGGTCTGGTTTTCTGAGGTTAGCCAAATTAAAATCAAGAAAAGCCACCTCATAATGCAACAGTAGATGCTCTCGCCGTGTTTTTTTTTCTGTAAGTGTAATGCCTCCTCCATCTTTTTTATAAATCATTATCTCACCTGCTGTGTTGAGCCAAACCATCTGTTCAGGCTACATGTTTAACTTGTTCTGCACAGAAACAGAACATCTGTCTTGAACAGATGGAATAAGATAATATTAAAGTAATCTGAGAAAACATATTTGTTTTAAAAGTATATTTTAACTGGATCAATAAAATTGTTAAACCTTTATAGTTTGCTAAACCTACATAGACACAGAAAAAAATATCAACTGTAACTTCCAAATGGGATTTTTTTGTTTCATTGTTGCTGATTGGGTTTATGTTCTCTAAATGACTCCTTGTCAGAAAACCAAAAGCATCTATAACTGAGACACATCCTATAACATTCTGTTGTGTTGGATGTAAAAGGTAAATATATATATTTGATACGTTTGAGAAAAAACAAGTTGTTGCTTATTTATTTAAATGAAAGGTTTGTTCAGAATAGTGTCTTTAAGTTTTCTTTCTTTGGCTTAAAAAAACTAAATGTTAGTAATATCAAAAATGTAAGTTTTGTTGCACATAAATATGATAAAAGATGCTCTTATGTTATGTCATTTTTTCTTTTTGGTTATGTTTTGTAATTTTATGCTGGATTGCATGCTCCTCATGCCACCTTTTTGCTTGGAAAGTTATGAGGCTTTTTCTTTTCTTTTTCTTTTTTTTTTTTACCTTAAAAAAGACAAATCCATGGCAGAGTCTGATGATTATGATGTTTTGTATCCAAATGTGGAGGAAGGAGATCCGGCAACTTCAGTAGGAAGACCTAATGGTAATAAAAGCTAAAACAAACACACGTCTCTCTCACTGCTTTTTTATTGTTTGTACAATATAGTTGTTTATTCAGTCACTGATTATCATTAGGGGTCAACGCTGAGAGCTACGGTCCAAGTGACGACTCCAAGTCAGAACGCAAAGATGAGGGAAATTACTTGATGGATCCCAAACCTTCAGTGCTGATTCAGGAGCCAACTTTGCTGGACTTACACCGTGATGCAGTAGACAGAGACCTGTTTGAGTCCTACACCTACACAGGTGAAACATCTAGAAATGAAGAAAGTAACTCTCTCTTTCTGAATTTTTAAATATTGCATCTTTTAAACTATTTATTTTCTCTTAGGAATCTCCTCAAGTTTGTTAAGATTCAGACCCTTCAGTCTAAAGCCAAGAAGCATCTACATGTTGCAGGTTATTGCCAGTGAGTTTTAACACACGTTAAAGAAAAACAGAGGATAGAGGTTTTTTTCATATCATTAGTCTTATTAAATACATATTTCAATATTTCTTTTTTTTTTCCTAGAGTCTCAAAATACTTTGGTGGGTCGGACTCAGCTCTTTCTAAAAACCAACCCTGTCCCAGACGGCATGACGTGCCAGGTTCAGCCGGTTGATGGGATGGAGCTATACACAACCTTCAGCATCTTCTGTACCTCAGGGCAGGAGGTGTGAACTTATATATTTAACTCTTTATTTGACAAAATGCTTCATAAATGAAATCCACTTGCTCTTTATGTTGTGGGTTTTATTTGTATATAACAGGACTTAGAGTATAAGTACAGCTTCAGTGTAGGAGGCAGACCCCCCAGGATGCTCTACCAGGGAAGAGACTTCCAGTACTACTTCAGCCTCCCATCAGGTGACCCCAGCAATGACTATGAAGGTGAACATTAGCCACAGACACTAAGGAATTAGCATATATCAAACTTGCTTTTTTTTTAGATTTCTTCCTACTTATCGGATATAATTAACTGGTTTACTGTTGTTTTTTTTTAGTAAAAATCTATACCCAAATCCGATGCAGCAGCACTGGCTCAGCCACCAAACCATGTCCTGTGACGGTACGAGTCAGACCCAGCTTCCTCAGGAACACTTCCTCCTCTTCATCAGACGATCGTCATGATCCCGCCCTGAAGCTGTAAGAGTCGACATTTTTCATTGTGAATCCATTTAAGATATTTGCATTTTCTTTCAGTGCCAAAAAAAGAATGATATGAAAGCATGTTTTAAAAAATAAACTTTTTTATCATGAGATCTGTTTCATAAGGGAAAACCTGGAAGACAGTAAAAGAGACATAATAAATAGAGGTTTACACCAAAATCAAATAATCAGGTGAACGGATAATAATTTCTAAGTTAATTTATGCACCTATTTTCAGTTAAATATCCAACCATAATTTTGGCATCCTTAAATTATTTAAAACTGCTGTTTTATGGAAGAAACTAAAATTTGTCCACATGTTAGATTTTTTGATACGTTTTTTTTTTATATTACAAAAAAAATGTAAATAATTTTCTAAGTTTTTGTCTTAGAGGCAAGTGCTATCCACTACAACCAGTCCCTGCAGCCATATGACCTGTTTCTGCCCCCAGCTCAGAGAGTCTGAGGACCGTGTCCGCACTGATGCAGCTTGGGAATCCAGTGGAGATCCTTAACTATATCAGCCTCCTGACCAGCATCCTAAACAGACTGAGCCAGGATGCTGAGGCTACCACACAGGCACAAAGGCACACTCGCAATGTGCTCATCTGCACATTATGCCAGCTTAAAGGCAGTGACCAGGTACATACACACATTTAATGAAGTTTCTGTTGGGTCTACAACAGTTTTCTGATGATATAAATGTTATTTTAATTTTAGCTATTGATGGCTGACAGCATCTCTGATCTGAATGAGCTTTTACAATTTCAAAATCAGGTGAGAGGATGAATGGCTGGAAGGGAGTCGTTCGTTATCTAAGATACTATCCTGAGTAAAAACAACATTTCCTGTTTTTTATTTTCTTTAGGTGACATTATCGAGTGTCAGACATGTAGCCTCACAAGTTCGATCTGTTTCAAAGAAGTTTCCTGAGTTTACTGCCAAGGAGGAGAGGCTCCACAGTCTGATCAACTTGCTGTCATATTGCCTCCAGGTGGTCACAGGTTGTAGTTGCACACCTGAAAAACCAGAGAATTCTAACAATACTCATGTATCAGGGCCAGGATCATCAACAAAACCACAAAAAAAGGATTGTGAAGAAGGAACTTATTGCAATGAACCAAACAAGTCCACCATCGCTCTGCTGGAGCATGGAGGGGCAGGTCCAGCAGAGCCATTGGCGCAGCTTGTGGAGGAGATTCTGCTGACTGCAGCAGACTTGATGCTGGTTTGTTCATTAATGTTTCTTCAAATTTTAACTGTTTAAATTAAATTTTCACTGGGATTCATTATGTTTAATTTATTTCCAGAGGTTCCTTCTGTCCAATGATGCCAAGGTACACAAAGTTAAAGCTGGCCCTATGACTTTGCTTGTTTCAACCCAAAACCAATCCTCCACAATCATCCAGGGTGGCTTCACCACCATCCACATGCCAGCTGCTCTGATCCGGAGGTTGTTTGCTCATCACACCAAAGGGGTTCGGCTGAGAGAGCAGCAACCCTGCGTCCTCAGAGTGTTGACTGAGCTCAGCCACAACTATCATCTCAAAGACTCATGTCCAGAAGTTAAAACAGGGAGGGATTTTATTCCCACCTCCTTTTTCCAGCTGACTGGACCAGTGGTGTATCTTAGTCTGTTCAGGTGCAGCAGTAGAAGAAAACTCCATATTCATTCCCTCTCTCAGCCAATAAACATTAAGCTACAACTTTCACAAAGAAACGTAAGTCATCTGTTTTATACTCTATTTTATTTTCATTTTAAATTTGAAGATCTGTTTCTAAAAACAACATTTCATATCTAAACATTTAAAACTCTTTAGAAATCTACTTTAACCATCTTCCTACTGTAGGAGAGCTCTCCCAGTCAGTACATCCTCCTGCGCCGCCAGATCAACTACCACAACTTCACCATCAGCCAGCAGCTCTTACAGCGGTCCATTCAGGTGACTGTGGTGTTTACGCCACTGCCCAGTAAGCCTTTTCCCATCATGCTTCTGTTCAGGTAAACTTTCTGCTTACAATATTAAGAATCCAAACAGTGCCAAGCTGCAGAATTTGCATCCTATTATGTTTATCAGAATCATTAAATCTGTATGATACTAACTAACTAACTAACTAACTAACTAACTAACTAACTAACTAACTAAACAGCTTTAATAATAGGAAAGTCCAGACATACTCAGATTTATCCCCTCTTTCTCTTCAGTGGGTTCAGTTTCACCCACATTGGTTAAATCTTGCACCATTTTTTTGTGTAAAAAACTGATAGCTCAGTCAGTTTGCTTAGAGAACATTTTTGTTGATTATTTTTCAAGTCTTGTCAGAGCTTCCCAGTTGGATTTAGATCTGGAGCTTACCTGAACCATTGTAACAAACAACCCTGTTCCGTTCTGAGCCATACTGGGCTATACTGTCCTGCTCAATGGTCAACCTTCACTCCACTCTTCAGTCCTCTCTAGTCCCCTGTTTTCTTCCAAGACTGCATTATATAAAATAAATAGCAAATATTATAGAAATTATCACTATTCCTGCTCAGGACAAGTACCTGAGCATGATGCTGCCACTACCTTGCCTTGCAATAGGGAATCTTGCTTTTGCACGCCACCCCCCCCCCACACACACACACACACACACACACACACCTGAGCTTCTCCTTCTGCATGTTTGCTTCAATTCTTTCAGATATATCTATTTTTTTAGCCACTCTTCTGTTAAGATCCTGAAATATTCTACATTTGAAAATAAAAAAATATAAACAATGAGCCCCACGAAGCATCCATGACAACCAGTTAGAGTTTCTAAAGATAACCTAGGAACACAGAGAAATACATTAGATAAAGGCCTTCTGTAGCAGACCGTTGGGCAGCCTGCTCAAGACTGCTTACTTCCCCTTATGACATCATAAGGGGAATGCCTTTCAAACAGAGCATTTTGACCAAACATTACCTGAGAGGTAGAAAAAGGCAGTAAGAGAGGGGAAAGTTTTTTAATTTTCTTATTTGTGAACCTCATACACTGATTTTGCATAATATGGGACCTTTAATTTCAGATTTGTAGAACTAATAGCTGTCTTACTATCAAACTACAGAAAATGAATATAGATTAATCCCATGCTTAATATTAAAACTAACCTATATTTCCCTCCACTTCATAACTATACAATACACAGTAATGGTCTATCACCTCAAATTCTGACAAAATATATTGAATATTTGTCATAAACTGTAATGAGTTTAATAAATAATATGAGGCTAAATCCTGATCGTTGGTCGTCTCAGGATGTTTGAGAGGCCAACTCCCAGTATGCACCAACTGCAAAGGATTCACCGATGGGAGCACAGCACCATACGCTTAACTCTTCCCCCTTCCTACCTTAATGGTAAGAGATTCTTTTCTCTGCATCCTTTTTCTTTATCTATTGTTTCGTATGATCAACAGATCTCCTCATTATTTCAAACATCATATCAGATAAGATTAAGCCAGTCAAAAATCTAGTTTGTAAAAAAGAAGAATGAGTTCTCTGCTACAGTTTGTTCTAATGTTCTGGTTCCAACAGTGACCTCTGAGTTATAATCATCTCAGACAACTTTCCCCTGATTGTTTGGGTTTAATTTTGGGTTATATAAAAATAGGAAAACATACAGCTGTGAGAAAGACTCCTAATAAACAGACGGTGCTACATTTCTGGTCGGCTTGCTCTTCTGGATAGCACAGTCTGTGTGATCACAAAAGTTGTAGCAACACACAATTTTCTAGAGTAAGAAAAAGAAATAATCTTGCAAAAAGAAAAAAAATAACCCAGCAACATCCTCAGCTGCAGGTGTCGCCCACATTGCGCTGCTTGATGCTAATTTTGGAAGATTACCCAAGAGCAATCTACAAAGCCAAGAGATAAGCTACAGTCTGACAGTGGACAGCAGTCTGTGTTTGTCCTGGGATGGACAGCAGAGGGCCTGGACGCACCATGATTGCAGGACATACCAAACAGACATGTCTTCTGCTGTTAACTGCAGGTAAATCATAGAATGTATGTGGCCAGACCTGCAGAAAATCAAACATATCGACAAGGCATAAAACATGATTTGTGTGTTGTTTTATCCAGTTGCTATGGGCTGAGGCCAATGACCGTCTTTCAGCAGCAGATTCAGAGCAGCCAGGACAGTGGTGATCTGGATCCCCTCCTAAGGTGACCTTCTCCCTCATTTTCACTTCAGTTTCACCTTAGACAGAACCCATTGTTATACTTTTTGGGTTTCAATTTCAAACTTTTCCACACCCCCCTACAACTAGGGGCTCATCTTTTATTTTAAACATATGTTTACACTAAATTCTGAACATGCTATCTTCTGCTTTTTTATCTTTCAGCGCATCCAGCAATGTCACTGTTCTCAGTATTCTGGTTATCCTCCTGGTCCTGTACATCCTAGGGCTGGTCTGGTCCAAAAGAGCTGACATTATGTCTAAGGAGAATCAAAGGGTCCACTTCCTTTCCGACAACAACCCAGAAGACCCCTACCTCTATGCTGTCTGCATACACACTGGTCTCTCCTCTGCAGCCCATATGACTGCAAAAGTAGGCCTATCCATGTTCATGGGCTTTGATCTTGCTAGCAAGCACATAAGCTTTTTTCATTAATGCTAAAAGACAATAGTTCGATTACAGTTTGTTTTTCTGTGAGATGAATTTTACCCCTTTTTCCATAAAGAAATGTCTCCAGATTGTTCTTAATTAATATAGCATGTATATGCACATCTGGTGGAGCTTTAAAAGAAGAAATAGAAGTATCCACCTCCAGAAAATCAGTCAAAATGCAAAATCTATTTGATTCAAGTATAAATGTAATTAAGTTTGATTCTGAATTCAGTTTGGAATTTTTTTTCATGTCTGGAAGGTTTACATTGCTCTGTATGGGGAAGATGGATTCTCACAAACAAAAGAACTTCAAAACCCAGGGTGCACTCTGTTTAGAAGAAACACTAAAGACACCTTTATATTGAGGTAAGAAATCAGCCTTCGTGTTTTCTCTGCAACATGTCAATTTTTTCCCCATATATAAATATAGTTAATCTGCTGATGTTTTAATACAACTTCGTCTTTGGTCTCTGCAGTGCCGCAGAGAGCCTGGGCCCAGTGTGGGGGGTTCACATCTGGCATGACAACTCCGGACTTTCTCCAGACTGGTACCTCAAAGAAGTGGTGGTGTCTGAGGTTAAAAATAAAACTGTTATTTCTTTCACACTGTCTTTAAATTGTTTTCAGTCTGACCATAAAGCTGGATGGTTTAATTGCTTATCCTCCAGGTAAAAAGAGCGCCGGCAGAGGCGCGCTCATGGCAGTTTGTCAGTGAGTGCTGGCTTGCTCTCAACAAAGTTGATGGCCAAGTGGAGAGGATGCTTCGTGTCTGCTCTCAGGAAATACATTTTGCTAAGGTGCAAAAACTGGATCCAGGCATAAATCCTATGTTATCTAAGCCTCAGTTCAACTCTGTCTACATATTCACTCTTGCAGAAGGTTTTACTGCGGTTTTGCGACTACTTGGCGGATTTCCACATGTGGTTTAGTGTGTACAGCTGCCCCAGTTCCAGCTCTTTCACACACACTCAGAGACTCAACGTTTGCCTGCTTCTCATCCTGGGTTATGCATGTGCAAACAGTGTAATCGTATCGCAAATAGATGTTCAGGTGAGTGAGCGACATGACTATAAAACCTTGAAATATGGGCATAGTTTGGCACCTTGTGGCATTATTTACACACTTTCATTTTTTGAATGCTGCTATCATCAAACCAACCAGCGTTATTTTCCCTGCTGTTCAAAAACATTGCAACAGCATGATACTGTCCCCCCATGTTTTACCATAGGGATTGTGTGTTCATGGTAAAATCTTAGCTAAATACTGTCAGAGCTACATACTGCAAGGTTATATTTATAACATGCACTTCTGGTCTCTTAATGTCCCTGTTACAGTTGCCATTTGAGGTGGGCATCGTCGATCTTTCGGATGTTTCTTTGACCACCGGACTGCTAAGTGTGATGGTTGCATTACCCGTTGCAACACTGATATCTTTACTGTTTCGGCTGAGGGGATGTGGAGTTCAACATGCATATCACATAAAAACAGCACAGGGGGATTTTCAGGGTTAGCTTTAATTCAACTGTTCACTTCCATCAACTTTAGTTGCTTCATTTGTTTTTTAGGATGCTTTTAGAATAAAACCTTTCTTTGTGTCTTGAAACCTTTTTAGGGAATGATAGTGAGTTAGACTACCAATCATCTTGGGTACAGAGAGCCTTAAGGAACAAATACCAGGTAGATTTTTAAGCCATTCTTTTTTTTATTCACCATTTTCTCTTTCAAAGTCATATGAAGCACTGTCTAAACCTTGTTTTTGCTGCAGGGTACAGATATCTTACATTCCTCCATTCATGAAAACAAAGACACAGAGGGAGAATCTACAATCCATGCAAACAGGGCTGTCAGAAATTATGATCATCTGGTATTTGAAGGCAATAAAGGGCAGGTGCTCCACAAACTGCTACTTACTTCAAATGGGCAATATTTTGACCACACAACTGAAGAAAGGACTGAAATACCTGAGACTAGGTGGTTTGAAAGGCAGACATCTAGAAGAATGGCAGATCAACCTGTCCGTAACAAGCTGAGACTGCCATTGTTTTGGTGCCGCTATGTGGCCTGGGCGCTGTGTCTGCTGTTGTCTCTCGCATGCTTGGTGGTCACAGCTGAGCATGGAATGAGGTAGTGTCATAACTTTAGCATTTTTCAAAAAGAACAAAACATTATAGCCATTGATGTACTAACAATATATATATATATATTTCCATCAGATTTAGCAGCAGCAGGGTTCTGCTGTGGATACAGTCACTTTGTGTTTCTCTCATGGGCTGCGTGTTCCTCATCCAACCAGTTCTAGTAATAATAACCACACAAAAATTAGAAAATAAAAATGTAACCAAGCTTTTATGCACCATTTTCTCATTCCTCATTAATAATACCATGTCTTCATTATTCTGCAGATTTTTGCTTTGGCAATGATTGTTTCCTTTTGGTTCAACAAAGCAGCAGATAGATCTGTAGGAAAGTTACCAATAGAGACAAACCTGTGGAGCCTGAATCATGCTGATGGACCAGGAGAAAAATTCACATCTGCTTTCTATGGGAAGAATTCTCCATCTGTGGAAACGGTAAAAAAACAAGTTTAATACCCTGTGCAATAACCTGTTTTTTATATTTGATTTGATACCCAGTGCAACATTTATATATATATATATATATATATATATATATATATATCCATCTATATAAATACCCATGTTAATACCCTGTGCAATTACACTGTGTGATAATCCTGCTAAATAAGAGACTTCAGCTGTCATATATATGTGGAAAAACTGTATATACTATATATACCCCCATGCACCCTTTCCTTCCTATTGTAACAAGTACATTTCTCCACTGAGAGATCAATAAAGTCAATCAATCAAGACTCTTAGTCCGATCTCCTACATAATTTATCTTAATAGAACATTTTTAAACTAAAGCTGTTGGAGAATAGATATGGATGCTGATGGCCTAGTCGTTAAAGCAGTGCGCTTGTGCTCTGAGAAGGTTGCAAGTACCTGGTTCGATCCCCACAGCCTGCACTCTGGGTCTCTGAGCAAGATCCTTAACCCCACACTGCCCCCTGGGCACCGCAAAATGGCAGCCCACTGCTCCCCGAGGGGATGGGTCAAATGCAGAGGTAAATTTCTCCAGTATGATACAAATAAAGTTCAATTATTATTTGTCTTCATGTCAGTGTTTGAGGTTGAGGTTTGAGGACCCAAATGCAGAGGTGAGTTCTTGCAGTTTTGAGTGTTCACAGGTAACAGAGGCAGGAATCCAAAAATCCAATTTAAAAATGTAAAACAAACCAGAACTATGGAGACATGAGGGAAAAGAAGCACAAGGATCCAGGGAAAGATGAGAAACCAGCACTGAGGAAATGCACAGGGAGAGTGTTTATGGCTGATTGAACAAAAGGCAGGACTAACGAGCTCACTGGGAGCAGGTGTGGACAGAGGCTTCTAGAAAGGAGCTAGGGAAAAGAAAACCAACACAAGAGGGCAACAAAGAGCAACAAAGAAAAGCCTAAGAACTCAAACACATCCAAAAACAAAACAAAATAGGAATCAAACAAATAAAACTAGAATACAAAGAAAAACATGAATCAACATAAAACTAAAAACTCAAAGAAAACTTAACAGAACCATGACACTTTAGCCTTTTTTCCCCCCTCTGATGTCATGTTTCAATTATACTTAGATATTCCCCTGCTGTTAGGCTCCACTCCTCTTCCCGCAACATGGACGTGTGTGTTATAAGAGGTACTTTTCATCAAGCATTAATGTCCTATTCCCTTGCTTCCTCAGCTGCTTAGGGCGAGGCAGAGAGCTCGGTACCTGCGTCTCATGCACCCGCCGACTCAAGCAGAACTGAAGAAAACCCGTGGAAAGAGAAGGAAAGATGCCCAAATCCAGGAAACACTCTGGTTTGTCTTTGTTTTAAAAAAAAAAAATACATTTAAAGAGATTTGCAAAAAGATTTCACACTTTATTTTGTCCTGCAGGGATTTGTTTTTCTGCACCATCATGCTTCTCCTGATGGTGTGTATAATCTCTGGCAGCTCACTGAACGAACATCAGAGTCTCAACAAAGCCATAAAAAGACGCTTTATAAGGTAAGACACAGACATCTCATAGATGCAACACAGATAGAGCTCATAAACATAGAATTAAACAGATATTTCCTTTCGACAGGAACAATTATTCTTTTACCTCCATAAAAACACATGAGGACTGGTGGAGGTGGACACAGTCCAGTCTGCTGGATTTCTTGTACCAGAATTCATCAGCAAAAAAGGAGGTGAGCAAAAAATATTCATTTGCATCAAGTCTGTAAAATATACCGGTACATACAGCGTCTGCTATTTTTCCTTTTATGCTTAATTAGCAAATAATCATTAATAAAAGAAATAACAGATGATTTTTTTTTCAATGAAGCATTTTCTATGTTAAATTAGATTATTTTTCCAGCAGCCTCACGTTGTAATTGGAGAGTCCATTATAGAGAAGAGAGAAATCCTCAACGTGTTTAAGGTAAGTTAAAGGAAACACAGATGATATCTAGGCTAAGATACAAGATCTGGAATTAAGCAACTCATTTATGAACATATCTGTGAGGTCATGCTGCAGATTTTTTTCTGTAGAGATCCAAAGAAAGCTTAGATAAATAAATGTGATGTGAGAAACCTCAAACAGAGCCAATGTTGGAGACTAACATGTTTCAATTTGTTCTTAACAAAATCCCTTATATTAACTGATTTATGAATCAATGAACTTGTTCATTGTATTAATACATTCAGCCTTTCCAACGGCTAATTGCATGTCAGAAATTTGACCCAGCTGTGGCTTTGAGTGATATTTATATAAAGTTTTTATTTACTGCTAATTAAGTTGGCAGATTGCATTTATGCCTGAGATAATATTTTAAACAAACATTATAATCTGTCAATATAAACTTTTTAAAAAGAAGCATTTTTGAAGAACTTTGGGTTCTGACGATAATAAAGGTTATCTGTAAATATAGAATTTGATTAATTACAAATCCATGATGTCATATATTCTCTGTTTTTAAAATAAAATACCTTATTTGTGTTTGTTTAGCCACAAATAGCCCCCCAGAAAAATCATTACAAAAAAGAAGGGTGGAGATGCAAATCTAATTTGCATTAGAAGATTTGGGAATCTTAGGTCTATGCGATCAATTCAGCAAGATTCTGAATCTAGAATGATTGCAAACAAACATTTAATCATCTTTGCTGTAAAATATTTAATATAGCTTTTGAAAAAAAAGTTAAATGTAGTTACACAGTTAAGCTTTTTTAAATGCTAACTACTCCTGTACAACACTCACCCTCACATTTAAAATGTCCCAGAATGCTACGCTGACAGCTCCTTGGACATGTGATCACCTCTGTTCATGGAAAACTGCGACAGTCAGATTTGGCCACACAAAGTGAGACTTATTTAATCCAAATATGTCACACTAATAATGCTGATGTTTTGACTTTGTTCTTAAATGTTTGCTGGACTTTTCTGCAGGTTTGAAGCTGCATCAAAGCTGAAGAGCTTGTATTCAAGCAGCTGGATCAACAGACAGACAGTGGCCGTAAAGGTTCAGTTTACCTTGTATAGCCCTGCACCTCACTTATTTAGCAGTGTGACCCTGACCACTGAGCAGATCCCTGGTGGTGTTCTGTTGCACTCTGTCAAGGTCCAGTCAGTCAGGCTGTTTTATTCTCCTACTCTATGGGACTATGTGACTTTGTTCTGCAAGGTAAAGGTCTCATTTTACCCTGATTTAAATCAACCCGAGGAACTCTACAGACTGAAGCATGTAATTTTTTTTCTCTTTTTCACCACCAGCTTCTCTTCCTGTTTTTATCTCTAATACAATCCTGCAATCAAGTTTCCAATATTGCACAACAAGGACTGACTGGATGTTGGAGGAGACCCTGCATGTGGCTGGATGTGAGTCAACCAAATCCTCCTTCGTATCTAGATAGACTGAAAATATCAAACAGGGAGTCACACCCATTTCACCCACTAAGACTTCAATGTACGGAAGCCCTGATAGGCAAGTGAGAAAAAAAAGAAAAGTTCTTTTTTTTTTTTTTTTGCTGTTTGAGGGTCTGCAGTTTTATCAATTTTCCCTACCTGCCTTTCCGAGCAGGAAAAAAAACAAACAACCCAAAAAAACAAATATTTATTTTTCTTACTTGCCTTTCAGGGCTTCCATACTAGTGCTTGTAGGACCAAGGTGATTTTACGAAAAGGATAAAGGTATAGTGGAGGATGTTCTTTTTCCAGGTGGATCATCAAAATAAGCGGTCCTCCTAACTGGTGATACATTAACTTAGGGCTGTCCTATGTGCTCGTCCCCATTTGCTGGTGGTGAGTCTGGCATAGTGGGAAAAATTGCAAGTCTTCTTTTGGAAAGTAAGCTTGTATGAACGATGCAAACAGCAACTTTTAAACAGAGCGTGCACAAGGAGAAATGGGCTTGTGCTTGCTCTCGCACGCGTTTAATAGGCCTTCCCTCTCGACTTGTGCTTGTGCATTTTTTTTAAGCGAAGAGGGCAGGTCTTTTTAAAACTTCGCCAAAATCCTCAACTATACCACTTACCTGCAATTATCAAACTGTCAAGTGAGATTATATCAGAATGTTTTGATAAAATAAGGAAAAAAGATTGATTAAAGTTCAAAGCATAAAATAATTCTTCAGTGCTTTGCTGTGTCTCTCCTCTGTAGGTTAGTCTGCTGGCAGTGACTCTAATCTGTAATGTTTGTTATATCTGTCGCTCCACCATGACCATGGAAGTTGTAAATTTGCTGCAGACACAACATAGAGGGCATGTTGATGTTAGCGCTGTGGCTAACTGGGAACAGGTGAGAGACCAAAACAAATGATAGCAGTGAGATTTTTACAGCATTGCAGAAACATGTCATACAGGTTCCCCTAAAATAAAATATCTTTTTCAGAATATTCGGACATTTCTGGGTGTTATCATCTTCCTCCTGACCATGAAGTGTGTGGCCTTTCTTAGAATGAGCAGAACCTTCAGTTCCTCAGCTGCAGTGCTTTCACAGATGCTCTCCAGCCTCTTATGGCCTATGGTAAACACATTATTCTCGATAGTAACACAGTTACATGTGGTTCTTATCCCCATTTGAAGTGATTTTATTTGTTATCAAAAATGTTAGAGAACTTTGTTTTGAAATTAAAATTTCTTTATTGAAAACTAATTCCCTATTTTCCTGTAAGGTTTCAGGTCTGATCCTTCTGCTGGCGTTTTCCTGCTCTGGGTATCTGTTGTATGCAGAAAGCTCCTTCAGCTCTGTTCCCCCTTCCCTGCAGACTCTGCTTTGTCATTACCGCTGGCCCCGCGTCACAAAGAGTCCACTTAACTCAAAGTGGGGTTTAACTCACTGGGCGGTTCTGTTTCTAACAACTACTGCTGTGTGGGCAGCAATGGTACATATTTCCCTTTTAGATTTCGGTGTCATTAATAACACGTGTAATCAGTTAACAACAGCCTTATTAAAAGCATAGTTTAAAAGATTATGTGAGATATATAAAAATGATTGTCCCTTTACAGTCATCTGTTTTTCTTACAGATACTTGGGGTCTTTTCCTTATTGGTGAAGAGAGCTAAAAGATCCCAGAGCAGGAACGTTAGTTTTTCCACAGGAGATATTTTATGCTACATGAGAAGGAGGGTGTCTGAATTCACTGGACGGCAAAGACAAGCAAGGAAAGCAGACAAAAGAAGGGTAGGGGAAATGTTTTGCTGGAAAATGCATATTTAAGTTTTTATTGATAAAGAAGTAAATCATATAACAAAGACACAAAAACGGAATTCATTTTCATCACATGTATAGTATTGTACCAGAGTCCTTTCCTCATTAATAGCATGAAAGAATGGCATAAAGAGAGGCAGAAAGTAAAGCAATAAATGGCCTAGGACAACATTCAAACCTCCATCCTTAATCTATGGTGCCCCTGCTCTTCTACTGAGGCACACAGAACCCAGTTTCACCATAGTTTCCGTACTATATATTCCTTTTTTCATTTAAAAGACTAAAATATTCCTAACAAATATCATCTGAGGACACAGTGCATGCATATCAAGTTGATATAAAGAAATATTTAGGCAGGTTATTTGACAGATTCAAAGTCTTTCCAGCTTGAATCTTGATGTAAAACAATACAATAAGCTCAGCTTATTATCTCACTGGTAAAATATTTTTTAATCAAAGGCACCGAGCCATTGATTTAGCAGAAATGTATCCTGAGCATGCATGTAGTGACAGTGGAAGGGAAAATGTCCTTTTAACAGGAACAAGCCTGTAGAACCTGCAGAATCAGGCTGCAGTTGAACCTGAATGGGATTTTTATTTACAAATCTGATTGTTTGGAGTGTGCTTTGGTGGCGCAATGGTTAGCTATGACCCATGTATGGAGGCCTTAGTCCTTCATACTAAGGAGGACTAATGCCTCCTTAATCCTCCTTAGCATGGAGGAGGACTACTGTCCATGAAAAAAATGAGCCACTAGTGCTGTAAAAACTCAAATAATAATAATAAAAAAAAAACAAAAAAAAACTGATTATTATAAGATCCCTTGCACCCCAGCCACAAACTATTTCACTTCCCTCTGACAGGAGGCTGTGGACCAAAACCTTACACCACCGCTACAGCCTTATCAACAAGAGAGACCCCCATGACACTGCCACTATCCCTCCTGCGTTCAGGACCTAGAAACTACACAACGTAGCATCTCCAGACCTTCTGCGTTACATTAACACACAGTCTACTGTGTATATAGTTTATGGCTATATACTATAAACAATATGCTGTATGTTTTATATTGTATATAGCTATAGATTCTGTATACTGTATATATATATATAATTGCTCTACACCATCAACACCAAGTCAAATTCTTTGTAAGTGCAAACCTACTTGGCAATAAAATGGATTCTGATTCTGACCAAATTCCCTATAGCTTTTACATATATCTGCTCATTTCATTTAGGGATTCTTGAACCAGCTGGATCTCTAGAATGGTATGCGCAGAGGACGTGTTTATACTTATACTGATCTTATTGGTTTTTATATTTAGATTGTGGTGTGCTGGGGGTCAGCAGGAAAAGAAGTTGCTTTGCAACCTCAAGACTGTAAAATAAATGCATACATTACTAATGAGAGAAACCAGTGCAATATCTCAGACTGCAGATAAAGCAGAGCTTTAATATAACCGCCATTTCTAGAAGCCTTTCATATGTGTGATAAAAAATCATAATATAACCTTTTTTCAGATTTTTGTCCTTGATGAGCTGGAGAGTTCAGTAGATGAACTCTTGTCCAAACTCAACGTCCTTTCTAACAGCATGCACCGCACTCACAGAGCTCGCTGCTACAGAGAGGAGGACACTCCTGTCATCTCAGCCTCGCCACAGTCTTCCATCACACAGGTGAGGCTGATATTTTAGACATACAAACATTCACATCGTAACACTGAACGTCATAGGACAATTAAATACAACTTTCTTCTAATCAATTTCATTAAAAGCAGACAAGTTTTAGTTATAAAATACATTTAATTAACTGACTATAAACAAGTTTGAGAAACTCGTTAAAAGTAGATATTTTAGCAGTTTACTGGACCGAACCACGTGTGTAAACACAAGAATAAGATAAAAGGATATTGTTTTCTAAGTTTATCTTTCTACAGACAGAAATACAGTCCAACCCCCATTGACCTTGTTCAGCATGTTAAAGTGTGTATATTTAAAGCTGGACAAAAACTGAACAAGAATGACTAGTATTGAGAAATTAGCAATAAAATGTTTGGTTCCACAGCTAAAGCTACGAAGGATGATTACTGAAAAACGACAGCAAATCTAAACTAGAATGATGTATTGCAATGGCTAAGTCAAATTCAGTGTTAGAAGTATTAGACATTGATGTCACGGTTTGTTTGGAGGTTTTTGTGAGGACCCAAATGCAGAGGTTGAGAGGCAGGGGTGAGTTCTTTGAAGATTTAATGGGATAACACAGGTAGCAAACAGGAATCCAAAAATCCAACTTATAAATGTTAAACAAAAACAGGTGTCCAAAAATCCAACATAAAAATAAAACACAAACCAGAACCATGGAGACATCAGGGGAAAAACATCACAAGGAGCCAGGGTGAGACAAAGTAAGACAAGGAACCAGCACAGAGGGACTGCAGAGGGAGTGTATTTATGGCTGACTGAACAAAGGCAGGCCTAACGAACTGATAAGGAGCAGGTGTTAGCAGAGCTCACGAGGAAATCAAGGGAAAAGGAAACACAAGGGGGCAACAGAGGAGAAGGAAAGAAAAACCTAAGAAACTTAAATAAATCCAGAACACACCAATAAAGCTAGAAAACAAAGAAAAACGTGAAACTGAAAACTTAGAGAAAACCAACAGAACCAAGATCGTTACAATTGAGGGAGATTTGCAGAATTAATTGTAGGGCAGCAGAAATGAACTGAAGACAATAGTGAAGAAGTGTGATGGAAGATACTGTAGAAGGTAATCTTTTATTGTCCCTCAATTGGGAAATTCACTTTCTGCATTTAACCCATCGCCTTAGGGAGCAGTGGGCTGCCATTGTGCGGTACTCGGGGGGCAGTCTGGGATTAAGGGTCTTGCTCAGGGACCCAGAGTGGCAGTCTGTGGGAGTGTGTGTGGCTTGAACTCTGAACAATTTGGACCCAAGCGCAATGTTCTAACCACTAGACCATTACTGGCCCTTAAAATGATTAAACTATGGGATGTTTTTTTTTATGATTGAGGTTATGCCCCCCGTTTGTTGCTGTAGTGAGAAGATTGCTTTTAAGTCGCTAACCACTTCTAAGCAATTTATGACTCTGTTAGGGATGTCTGAGGTCGGAGATGACGGGGGGAAATCCGAAGACAGGGTATAAAGCAACTAATGAATCACAGGAAAGAACGACCTCACCTGGATCTCACCTGTTCAAGTAAGAGAATATGACTCAAATTCTACTTTTAATGCATTTCAACAACTAAATATCATCTATATCCCCACCAGATGCAAGGCTGGAACCAGGATCCAAACCCTTTCAGAGGAAGCAAATGATTTGTTTAAAATAAAAAACTGGTTGTCTTCCTCAGAGTCAACATCCCTCGTTGGGTTTTGGACTGAAGATATGTGTGAGAATCAACCTGAACTACAAGGTGGAACAAACAGTAGCTGCTGGTTTAATACAACTAAATCCAAGGTGGTGGAGGTTCTGGTCCATAAGGACCCAGGAACAGGAGAACTATAGTGCATTATTTTTCTTGTTTTATTGTAAGCAAGTTCTATCTTTAGAGATTAACCCTGGCCGGATTTTTTTTTCAGTGATGTATTCTAGATAAATAAAATAAATGAAATACTACAGCTTTTGAATAAAGTAGATTCTGAAACAGTGGAGTATCTCATACCTGTTATTATGGCTTCAGGGGACTTTCTTAAAGGAAGCAAACATAAAGTTGATGCTGAATGTTTATGATGTGATGAATCTGAATTTTGTGAGTCTTTTACGTGTTTAAATGATCAAATGGAGTCAATGTAACAAATGCATGGTAAAGCATTGTTAGTGCTGCAAAAATGTTTCATTTCCTCTCTTGGGGTCTTTCTATATGGAATTTTCATGATTTATGGGTTCTGTAACATGACTGCAAGGTTAATATGTTTCTCTAAAATGTCCCTTCAGCAGAAAAATATTAATTTTTGTATCATTCTGAGTTACCACACGTGCCCGTTTTCTTCTCACCTGTATTTTTACTCTTGAGATCACCCAGCTCACTTTGGTGGATGTTCAGTTTGTTGTTTTCCCAACAGTGAGTAAGTAATACAGCACATCCAGCTTAAATAAATAGCATTGGACTATATTCCTTTCTTACTTGCATTCAGTAACTAGTTTGCCTCTGATTTGCTGAGATCTATTAATCTCTTTAAACACTTTAATGAACTTTTACTTTTAGCACAAATATTAAAATGATAACAGATTTATAGGTAAGATGATTTATGCATTATTATTGAGCCTGTATTGAGTCTGTAGTTAGTCAATCAGTTCTGATTTGGTGATGTTTCACTGGGAATTTCTTTTATTCAATTCACTTTATTTATATAGTGCCAATTCACCATACGTCATCTCAAGGAGCCTATAACTGATACAGAGTTAACGGGTGAATGAAATGGATGAAATACAAACATTATCTGTAGGAGGAATTGCTCTGCTCCATTTTAAGCAATTATGTCAGCTGTGGTTTTTGCATGGTTCACTGCCTATAACCAAGGCACATCAAGAGTCACACTAGGTTTTAATTACTCATAGAAAAAAAAAGTGGTTGAGGAAAATAATTTAGAGACACAATATATGAGCATTCATGAGCCCTTTGGGTGAAAATAAATATACATACTCCAATTTACCTCTATGGTTAGGGGTTGTCACACTTAACTATTTTTTTATATGATGGCATCCAGTCCTATTGATGGTGAAACGATGATTCCAGTCTTTTAGAGATTTCTGGAGCAGATACAGCCCAGCCATGTAGAGCTGTCTCAATCACAGCTAATGTTAAAAGTTCCAAAGTTGAAATAAAACCGTCTTAATAAACTACTACTTTCTGGTACACTCGTGGATAATGAACAAATAATAACAAACAGATAGTACATACAATACCATAGTTTATGCAAAGGCGCCAGGTTCTGCTCCTTACATGTAATTTAAAAGACACTACAAAAAAAGCTAGTTTGCTAGCACAGGTAAAGAAGGTCTGCCATCTTGTGGCTAGACTCTGCATCTGCGTTTTATGTTTTCCACTGGTAATGACAAAGTCTGTCTTCCCAAAATTTGTGTAAAATGGGTTTTAAAGGCTAATGAAAACCTGAAATTCCATTGCACCTGAATCGCAATCATTTTTTTGAAAAGAGGTCCTATGGTGAAACCACGTTGGGTAAAATTCTTCACTGTTGAGAGCTAGGGCACATGCATTTAAGCCCAATGCAGAAATAACTGACCAAATTATTGTAATTTAATTGGCTAAAAGCCGCTTGACTCTATCTAGGGCCAATTGGTTTGGCCCGACTCATCAAAAGCTACGTTCACACTGCAGGCCTTAACGCTCAATTCAATTCCAATGTGTTTGTGAAATCCAATTCCTACCAACTACCAGTTTTAGTCCGTGAGGCAGACACCCTGTCTACTTTTAAGGGTAGGCTTAAAACTTTCCTTTTTGATAAAGCTTATAGTTAGAGCGACACAGGTTATCCTGAGCTATCTCTATAGTTATGCTGCTATAGGCTTAGACTTCTGAAAGACATAGGGACCCCTATTTCATCATTTTGCTTCATTCTATCTCTATTCTTCCACCCTGCAGAATGTTAGTTTAATCTCTAACATTATGATCTCTCTGCCTTTTCTCATAGTAGCTTCGCCCCGTCTGTTCCTGTAGTCAGCCTCGGCAGATGGCCGCTCACACTGATCCTGGTTCTGCTGGAGGTTTCTTCCTGTTAAAAGGGAGTTTTTCCTCTCCACTGTCGCTACAAGCATGCTTAGTGTAAGGGATTGCCTTCCAGTCAATGAGTTGATGAAATCAACCGCACTTTTGTCTGCCTTTTCAGGGATATTATATCGCTATAAATATAAAATCATTATTTTTATCACTATCAATAATTTCATATTTGTTATTTGTTACATCTATAGCTCAGCTACCTGTGCAGTAACCCTANGGTTTCTTCCTGTTAAAAGGGAGTTTTTCCTCTCCACTGTCGCTACAAGCATGCTTAGTGTGAGGGATTGCCTTCCTGTCAATGAGTCGATGAAATCAACCGCACCTTTGCCTTCCCAGACTTCACCAGCTGTGCTCCCATAGGACTCCATCTCTGTGCACAGTTGCCTTCATCTCAGCCCTTAGGCTTTGATTTACAATTTAAAGCTGGTCTGAATCTCTGTGATGTGTGGAGCCTGCATTTTCAGGGATATTATATTGCTATAAATATAAAATCATTATTTTTATCACTATCAATAATTTCATATTTGTTATTTGTTACATCTATAGCTCAGCTACCTGTGCAGTAACCCTATAATCTCTGGTGAAGGCTGTCTAACCTTTTAATCTAAGCTTGACCAACGCTATCAAAAATAAATAAAAGACCAATAGCACCTGCTTTATTCTCATGAACTTTTTTGAGGACACCTTCTATGTGTATAAATAAAGAAGCTGCACAAGCTCTCAAATATTGCAACACACCAACTAGAGTAGACATTTCACTATGAGAAGCTCTGCAATAGTTCGAACATTGCTGCTCTGCCAGTGGTTGAGTTGGGTTCAGGGTGAGCATGAAGGAACTAAAATGAGTGGCAGAGCCCCATTTGTGGAGGAACACCTCCAATTGGAGCCTAATCATTTTAAAACAAGCAACGTTGAAGTCAACAGACAGACCGATATTTGGGCTGAGTTAAAGGAGCTGAAAGACCTGACCATTGAGATGAAGGCTGAAATAGAGACACTGAAGCAGGAGAATTTAGGTAACGTACAGATTGACGTAAATACAGCTAAGGTCACACAAATTGTTTGTTTTTTTTTCTTGTTGTTTTTTTTTGGGTGGGGTGCAGGTCAGTTTTTGGTCTGGCAAAAAAAAAATAAATTAAAAATCAAAATGTTGCTTTTCTTTCATTTTATGTAACTGTTTATATTTTAATAAAAGTAAATATGTTCTTATAGCTTTAAAGACCAGATTACATCTCAGCGAATCGCAGGTAGAGGCGCTCAAACAAACAAGTGCAAGTAAGATAGTAGCATTTTTTTAATGCAGTGATCTAAACTTGATGAGTTACTGTATTAGTAACGTTCTGTTCGGAAAAAAAATCTAATCTGTTTGCAGATTTGGAAAACCAAATCAGCCAAAGTGAGATAGAGGATCACAAAAGTAAGAGCATGGGTAAGTAAAAAAAAAATAAACTCCACACATTTACATCTGGGAATATATCTAATACAGTTTAACACAAGGTATATACACATCCTTAACATGAACAAACCTTTTCAATTTCCTCGCCCTATAAACTGTTAGATGGTGTATTAGTTAGTAAAGTTCCCATCTTCTCAAGTGATGAATTTTAACTCTGTTGTGCCTTTTTGACTTAAGTCCTCTTTCTGCATGTTCAGGTGAACTAAAATTGGCGTTCTCAGCTGCATTTTCACAAAATGGGGCTTTTGGACCCTTTGACACTGAAGTCACTCTGAAGTTCAGTGAAATCTTCAGTAACATTGGCACAGCCTACAACCCATCTACCGGTACCAACCTTTTCACTCAGTATAATTAAGAGAAAGCAGCAATGGATGCAGATATACAGCGTTTCTTCATCCTGTTGTTTCTCTTGTTGCAGGCATCTTCACAGCCCCGGTCAGAGGAACCTACTACTTCAGACTAACTGTGCTTGAGCTCAGAGCCAATCATACAGTCGGTGTTTATTTGTATCATAATAGCGATCTCATTTTAGGTGCTTTTCAACACAGTGATGGCCTACATGAAAGTACATCTAATGCAGCTGTACTTCAACTTGAACAAGGGGATGAAGTTTTTATGAATCTTGGTACTGGTTTTTCTTTGTATAACGATGGAAATAATTACTGCACTTTTAGTGGATTTCTGCTTTTTTCAATGTGAGACTTACCAGAACTACCCATGGACATTCAATGAGATGTGCAGTCAGCTGGCCTGCTACAACAAGGCAAGCAAACCCAACAATTACTAGGGCCCCAAGGTGGCCTTTGACCCTGTAGTACGTCTTAGTAAAACTAAGAGCCTTCTGGTGATACCTAAAACCTTCCTGTCAGTGCTTAGAGAGAGCCCTCCGCTTTCCCTTTCAAGTGTCTTTTGGTTCTCAAGTGAAAAAACCTAAATTGTCACTCCTCTCCCCAAAAGAAAACTTATTTTTTCATCTATGTACGTATATATGTAATATATACGCTATGTAGGTAGGTTCTTTAGTATTATACAAATTTTTAGTGCATTAAAAATGATTAACCTATTAACTTTTCATTTAGTTTGTTTTTTTCACTTAATAGATTACATTTATTTATTTTATTTTTATCAGATTTATTAGAAGAGGGCTTTGTTTGAGCAAATTTTCCAGTATTTGAGTTCTCATAATCTTTAAATCTATTAATATTCTGCTGTCTTGAATTAAATCAAATCTTAAATTAAATTGTCTTAAATTTTATTTTTGAAATTTATTCTAAACTGTGCCTACAAAAGATTGATCTCACCGTCTCAAAAAAGAAATGGTTTGCTTTGATCCTCCCGCTGACCTCCAGGGACATCGATGCCAGAAGTCCTCACTTCCTTAAACTTCGAAACGAGGTATTGAGGCTGGAAGACTGCTTCCTCCAGGTGGTACCTGACCCTTCTGACAATCCCTGTCCTTGTAAAAATCCGTCATTGGAGAATCCTGCCTTAACAGCTCCAAATTGTAGTGGGAAAAATGTATTTAACTGTTCACCCCAGTTTAATAAATGGAAACCGATGGATTTCACTCAGTCGGCACTTTATATTTACATCTTTGCAAAGAGAGAATCAGTTCATCATACAGCCCTTTTCTGTATGGGCAGAGTGTGTTCCCCTTACTTACAATAAATGGAAAGTGGTCAAACAATGTCTGACCTGGAAATAAACTGCTTCTATTGACTAACAGTGTGAGCACCAATGTTCCCTCAAATCTATTTATTTATCAGAAAATAAAATCCAACATAAAACCGTAAATCAATTAGAACAATACATTTTTTTCTGTATCATTTTGAATCTGTGAAAAGGGAATCCATCCATCCATCCATCCATCCATCCATCCATCCATGTCCTCCGCTGTACCCGGGGCCGGGTCGCGGAGGCAGCAGTCAAAGCAGAGATGCCCAGACTTCCCAATCCACACACACTTCCTCCAGGTGCTCTGGGGGGACCCCGAAATGACACCAGGCCAGCTTAGAGACATAGTCCCTCCAGCATGTCCTAAGGCCTTCCACGGGTCTCCTCACAATGGGACGTGCCTTGAACACCTCCCGAGGGAGACGACCAGGAGGCATCCGAAACAGATACCCAAGCCACTTGAGCTGGCTCCTTTCGACGTGGAGGAGCAAGGACTCTACTCCAAGCTCCTCCCAGGTAACTGAGCTCCTCACCCAAACTCGAAGGGTGCCCCCATGCACCCTGCGAAGGAAACTCATTTAGGCCACTTGTGTTCGCGATCTTGTCCTTTTGGTCATTACCCAGATCTCATGACCGCCTTCATTCATCATTATTTCATTTGAAGGCTTAGAGCATCTGAACTTGCTGGACGTGCGTTGATTAAACAGATATCACTGTTTCACCATTTTATTGTCATTACACTGTCACAAGTATAAACAAAATAAACCCCGATATAAACCCTCTGCATTTAACCACTCCAGAAAATCATCATGTTAACACTGGACTCACTTGATGAGATGACTAGACTCTGCTGTGCTACTGTTTGGTTGGGAAGAAAACCTGGAGCCACATGGCCCTTTCTGGAACCAGACTGACACCCCTGCCCTATAGGTTCTCCACCTGGATTGCCTACAGGGAGCAGTTTAATTTTTTACACATATAGCAGCTGGTTGGATGGTTTTGTTGTCTTTCTTTTTTTTCCTTTTCATTTTTCTCTTACTATCTAAAGGATCTCTCTCCTTTCCACTGTTTTACTTCCTTTGTCAGGTTTGGCGTTTTTTGGAGACATGTAAATTTGGTAACAAATTAAATAAATAAAGCCGTTTTGGATAATAAAGAGGGGCTTCTCACCAACAAAGCCTCTCTTGGCACAGCAAATTTGTTCAGCATAGCACAGTACTCAGATTTCAGTTCTGCTGCCATAATAGTGAACAGGAAAAGGTACAAAAAAAACACAGGAGGTGCGCTGTTACTAGGAATCCCATTTAACAGCAGCCTCTGGTCCGGTTGCCTCTTGGCAGCTTGCAGGAAGGCGTTTTTCCTTTACGTAATCCAAACTGTGGGCACCAGGTTAATAAAAATTCATATGTTTTGCCGGGAGATTTCAGGATTTTAAGTTAATTTAGGTGTTAATAAACTGTTTCAGAGGAGAGGAGTGATCATAGTGATCCGCATCAGCAGCGCCCTTTGGCCCTTTTGCCTTCACTCTGTGGTCCAGCTCACCAAACCATCTTGATTGGGTTCAGGTCCGGTGATTGAGGAGGCCAGGTCATCTGGCGCCGCACCCTATCTCTCTTCTTCTTGGTCAAATAGTCCTTACACAGCCTGAAGGTGAGTTTGAGGTCATTGTCCTGTTGAAAATAAATAATGGTCCAACTATGCAAACCGGATGAAATAGCATGCTCCTGCAAAATGCTGTGGCAGCCATGCTTGTTCAGCATGCCTTCAATTTTGAATAAATCCCCAACAATGTCACCAGCAAAGCACCCCCACACCATCACAGCTCCTCCTCCATACTTCACGGTAGGAGCCAGGCATGTAGAGTCCATCCGTACACCTTTTCTGCGTCGCACAAAGACATGATGGTTGGAACCAAAGATCTCAAATTTGGACTCATCAGACCAAAGCAAAAATTTCCACTGGTCTGATGTCCATTCCTGGTGTTCTTTAGCCCGAGCAAGTCTCTTCTGCTTGTTGCCTGTCCTTAGCAGTGGTTTCCTAGCAGCTATTTTACCAAGAAGGCCTGATTCACACAGTCTCCTCTTAACAATCTTAACAGTTTTTCTAGAGATGTGTCTGTGTAAGCAGGCGACCTCTCGGCTGGATTTTCAGTGAGAAAATGAACTTATCAGGCAGAGTGAAGTTGAAGCATCAGCAGGTTTATTGGTTACACAGCAAATAAAGTGTCCTAGTGCTAAGCAAGCTGATTTTTAATAAAGTGCAAAGGCCCCTTAAAGCGCTACAAGCGATTCATATAAAAAGCTATATTCATAAAAATAGTCCCAGTAATGAAGACCTCTTCATTACAGTCTGCTGCTAGAACTTTGTGTGGTCTCTACTCTGAGCTGCTGTTAAGCTGCAATTCCTGAGGCTGGTGACTGGGATGAACTTATCCTCCGCAGCAGAGGTGACTCTTGGTCTTCCCTTCCTGGGGCAGTCCTCATGTTAGCCATTTTCTTTGTGTTTTGATGGTTTTTGCGACTTCACTTCGGGATACTTTCAAAGTTTTAACAATTTTTCGAACTGACTGACCTTAATTTTTTAAAGTAATGATAGCCACTCATTTTTCTATACTTAGCTGCTTTTTTCTTGCCATAATACAAATTCTAACAGTCTATTCAGCAGGACTATCAGCTGTGTATCCACCTTACTTCTGGTCAACACAACTGATGGTCCCAACCCCATTTTATGGAAAGAAATCCCACTTATTAAATCTGACAGGGGACACCTGTGAAGTGAAAACCATTTCAGGGCACTACCTCTTGAAGCTCATCAAGCAGTAATCAAATATGTACATTCACATGTATTAATTCATAGTTTTGATGCCTTTAGAGTAAATCTACAGTTTTCATAGTCATGAAAATAAACAAAACTGTGAATGAGAAGGTGTGTCCAAACTTTGGTCTGTACTATATATATATATATATATATATATATATATATATATATATA